AAAATAAAGAGAAGATGTGCTGCACTCACAGCAGGCCAGGGTCTGGGGAAGAAGGTGGATGGTTAAAATGGTAAAAGAGAGATGAATGGATCAGAGAAAAACAGTTTTTCAAGCCGTTTATTATGGATTCGTGCCTTTCTTTGCTCTTTTGTAAATTGGGCCAATTTTTTGTAAGTAGTGCCCATCCCCAGGGTTGTTATGGAGTGAAAGGAAGTAATACATGCAAAGTGCTTAGAACATGCAGTAAGTAAATGCTCAACAAATGCCAGCTGCTGTCACGATGAGCTCAGCGGGCTTCGAGGAACATACTTAAAGGAGCATTCTCCTCTGAGGGAAGGGGCACGAAAAGCTGTCGTGAAGAGAAAACACATCTTCTTTGCATCAAATCAAATCAGGGAATTCTAACCGGACCAGGAAGCGTTTACTAATGAGTCTAATGGCAAAGGAAGTAAATTATAAATACCCAATAACGTTTGAGCCAGTGATAGTGGCATCCGGGTTTTGCAGAAATTAAAACAAAACAAACAATACCGGTTTCTGTATCTTCATCTTAAAGGTCAATAAACCTTCATATGAAATGCACAAAATTATCTTGTTAAACAAGATCCTCCTCCTGCACCCATACTGCTCATCCAAGTTACTCCCACAGTCAGATGTTTGGATGGAGGCTCCTGGAGAGTATGAATCTTCTCGAGTCCTCCTGCTGAAAGGGAACATATGTTTCCCTCTGGCATGCAGCTCAAGAACCAGGCCATTCTCACCTAACAAGTGATTAAATCAACATGTATTGGGTATCAGAAAATGAAATTCCATAGATACATTCCAAGGAGCTGGAAGCAAAACTGCTGCCAATCTAATCATCCTCAGCTCTTGTAGTCAGATGGACAGTGACAGTGGCCTATAGGAGTGGTTATTCTGGCTACTGCTGCAAAAGGTTCCCTTCACTGTATACAATGGGGCTATCTTACAAGGTTAAGCAGAGTATAGGGCCTTGACATGGCTAAGCACTAACTGTGACATCTAAAACACTCCTGTCAGTAGGTGAGTGGAGAGAAAGCATGGCTCCTTCCTCCCCTAAATAAAGGCTGGGGCTGGGGAGCATGACTCCCTAAGGCAAACCATATGTGGAAAAAGCTCCAAATACATATTTGGCAACAATTTTATGGAGCTGGAAGGAGTCATTCTCAAAATATGAAGATGTGACTTCAGGAAACTCTGAATGCTCCTTTCTGTTCAATACTTTCATAATTGAGATCACATTATATGTAGTCTTATTTCTCAATATAGTCTCTCAAGTATCAAGGATATTTTTAAAAAACCAAACACCAAAACTGCTAATTTGATACAGAAAAATTTTCTTTTAATTTGAATCATCTTTATTGAATTACAGTTTTTCATATTAGCCATTTCTATTTCTTATTGCACTTCTATGAATTGTTACATCCTTTGCTCATTTTTCTCTTGGAGTCTTCATGTTTAAAAAAATATGTTAGTATGAGGTAGTGGTGGGGAGTGCCTATAAAGGGTACAGGTTTCTTTTTGGGGTGATGAAGAGGTTCTAAAATTGATTATGGGCCAGGTGTGGTGGCTCATGCTTGTAATCCCAACACTTTGGGAGGCTGAGGTGGGAGAACCGCTTGATCTGAGGAGTTTGAGACCAGCCTGGGCTTCATAGTGAGAACTGTCTCCGTATTTAAAATAAAAATAAAATGGATTGTGGTAATGGTTATAATAAAAACCACTCAGATATACACTTTAAATGGGTAAACTGTATAATATGTGAATTATCTCAATAAAACTGGTTTTAAATATGAGTATAAATCATTTCTATATTAAGGTATTAAGCCTCCTTCTTCCAAAATCTGTAGGTAAATGTTCTAATCTCATTTGCCTTTTACTTTCTCATATTCAGAAGATATATATTTTTAGTTAAATGTATAATCTGCTCCTTAATGAATCCTCCTATTGCCTTTATTTGGAAAATTCAGTCACATCCAAAGATAGTCACTAATACGTTCTTCTGGCTTATTTTCATTTTTCACCTGGATTTTGGTGTACATTATAAAGCCATAATCTAGTATTCTCCAAAAGTTTACCTTCCTTACGTTCTTAGGATTTTTGGAATATTTTATTTATACTCACATCTATTTCGGGGCTACTACTGCATTGGTCTAAGAGGTCAAATGTAACTATTAGTACATTTTCAATATTTTTTAGCTGTGAAATATAGTTTTATATCTAGTATCTCAAGACTTCATTACTTTCCTAAGAATATTCCTATTCTTGCACATCCTTCAGATGAAATTTAGAATACTCTCAAGCCATTTAGAACATTAATAGACTTGCATTCAATTAATTCACAAATAGAAGAAATGTTTAAAATATTTCATTTTAGGGCCAGACACGGTGGCTCACACCTGCAATCCCAGCACTTTGGGAGGCCAAAGTGGGCAGATCACCTGAGGTCGGGAGGTTGAGACCAACCTGAGCAACATGCAGAAACCTCGTTTCTACTAAAAATACAAAATTAGCCAGGCGTGGTGGCACATGTCTGTAATCCCAGCTACTCGGGAGGCTGAGGCAGGAGAATCGCTTGAACCCAGGAGGCAGAAGTTGTGGTGAGCTGAGATCGTGCCATTGCACTCCAGCCTGGGCAACAAGAGTGAAACTCCGTCTCAAAAAAAAAAAAAAAAATCCATTCAGCTAGGAGCACTGTACTTTTCCATCTACACAGGTCTTCTGTTAGCTTTGCATAGTTCCTGCACACATGCTCAGTTTGTCCATAAATGTGACAAAGCTTGTTGCCACAACAAATGGTGATATACTACAATTTCATCTTAAAGCCATCTTTGTCTATTGACTTTTGGATATCTGGAGGTTTTTGCTAATTTTATATTAATTCTAAGATGAGATTCCCAGGCTTTCTATTTGGACCATTATATCATCTGCAATAATAACAACAGTTTTTTCTTTCCCAATAGTTGTAATTCATTTCTAGTTTGGGTCTTACTGCCTTAAAAAATTGTATCAATATTCTGATGACAAGCCCTGAAAACATTAAAGCACATATTAAAAACAAAATCTTTCACAAGCAGGCTTATAAGGGATATGTAAAGCTTTCAAGCTATAGAGAAAATTCATTAATGTTGCCACTTTCTAGAATCTGTTTCATCTAACTTAGGGCTCTTAAAGAACACCCGAAGTGTTTAATAGATCCGGTGTGACAATATTTGGAGCAGGCACTCAATACTGGGGGCATAGGGTCCCTTTTCCCTCAGCTGTGCCTATCACATTCAAACCAACAGCAGGTGATAGCTCCTATTAATCTTTGCTACTAACTGGAAAACTGTTCTCTTTCTTCAGCAGACACAGTTGAAGTGTCTAATGTCCTAGAATGCAATACTGACCATTCTTCTAAAGCCTCCCAGTAATCTTTTTGCATAATCTGTGTTAGTTTTTGACATACTCTCTTCCCCTCTGACATTTGTGCCTTGAGAATGAATCTTACTTTTAATCACTACTTGCACACACTCATTTGTTACAAAGTACATCAACTACCAAATTTAACATTTGAGTGCTGGTTGCTAACAGAAAAAGGAATAAAAAATTTGTGCAGACAAGGCCTTGGTTTCTGAATGGCTGATTTTAATGGTGATATGACTGATTCTAACTGCATTCCATCGAGCCCACATTCAAAAGAGTAAAACTTACGGTGACCATGTTTATCGTGAAATAGTATCGCATTTATTTTAAACTGATGGTACCCAACTTACTTAAAAATCCTAAGAGGCTTAACAGTTTTTCAACTTTACCACAGTGCACAAGTGATATGCATTCAGTAGAAATCATACTTTGAGTACCTATACAATCATTTTTTTTACTTTCAGGACAGTATTCAGTAAACAACATGAGCTATTCAACACTTTATTATAAAATAGGCTTTGTGTTAAATGGTTTTGCCCAACTGCAGGCTAAATATTCTGAGAACATTTAAGGTAGTCTAGGCTAAGTTATGATTTCAGGTTAGAGATATTAAATTCATTTTCAATATGATATTTTCAAATTATAACAGGTTTACCGGGACCTACCCACATCGTAAGTTGAGGAGTATCTCTATCTAATATAGTGAGAAATTATTTTTATTTTTCTGAACAACTGAAAAAGTCCAATTCAATCGACCCTACAGAGGAAATGAACTGAAACATGGCCTCTTCTTACCCAAATCACTACAAGAGAAAATCTACTTGTTATTTAAGTGAACTGTACTGAATAAATGACATAAACATATGTTTAGAAACAACAACGCTCCATTTTCAAGGCTGAGTGGCTGTTTACTGAGTTCTGGGAAGAGCTTCAGTAACTGCCTGTAAAATAAAGAACAATTTTTACTAACTCTTGTCCTTAGTAAGAAAGATATAAATCTTGATGCAATACTCATTAACTAGAATCCTTCCATTACAAAATTTTTGTTCATTTATGTTTAAGGACTTTTTGTTAGTTTGTTTGTTTTGGAGCTAAGAGTTTCACTGTCACCCAGGCTGGAGTGGTGGTGGGATCTCAGCTCACTGCAACCTCCACCTCCTGGGTTCAAGAGATTCTCTTGCCTCAGCCTCCCAGGATTACAGGTGCAAGCCTGGTTAACTTTTTTTTTTTTCCCCTATTTTCAGTAGAGAAGATTACAGGTGTGAGTCACTGTGCCTGGCCATGTGGACCTTGGAGATACAGACTCTAAAATCCTATTTTTACATTTGTGATGAAGAAAAATATCCCTCAAAACCTGTTAATTTAAATATAAATCAGATGTAGTCACACATAATAAACGTGCTAAGATAAATAACTTTGCATATTTGTAATTTTCAGAAATTTTAATTTCCAATTTTGCTAAGTTCAAAAATACATACGACATAAAGCAAACAGGGCACAATGTTAACACCAGGTGAGGGTTATATGGTATTTACTACTGTTTTACTTTTGCTGTAGATTTGCAATTTTTCAAAATAAAAAATGAAAAAATGTTTATAAGACAAAGTGTATGTCACCGAGTATCACTAGTTTTAGAGTTAAAAAGTGCCCTGTCTTACAGGTAAAAACTTTTCTGCTAAGAGAAGCATGGGAGAAATATTTGACATGCATTAAAGGAAAAAAGTGGTTTAGAAGCCAATAAAGAGAGAACACACTGCATGTATCGCCCTCATCAATATTATCTCTTGAGTTTTCAAAACATGTTCCTCTTGCTCCCACAGACTCCCATGCTAATCATGCAAAAACACAGCAATCCACCAACTTCACGTTTACAAATGATAACAAAAGTTTAAAAACATCCCTCTCAATAAGATGAAAATGTTTTCTGACTTTCAGGAATAAAACAGGTTTTCTCAGTTGAATGCCTTAAAACTAATACTCTGAATTTCTCACGTACTATTTAATTTGGCTATGTTTAAAAAATACAGCACATGATTTTATTTCTTGTTTAAAGTCTAATGCTAAATGACAAAGCCTCACAGTTCCTGGTAGCTTGTTTGCTGAACAGTATCAACACGGCAAAATTATAAGAACTTCTTTTTAAGATTTGAATGTACTTTGAGATGTGAGACGGCATTACAGCAACCCCAAATTGTCTGTCTTATGGTGAAAATGGAGAGAGTAAAAATTGTATGCTGTAAACGATACCAAAAACTAAAAAAAAATCTGTCCCAAACCTAAAGTTCCCTTCCCAGGCCTTCCAATAGGCCACGTGGAATGACGGCTCACTTCTTTCCTCCTCATGGAAGGTTGAGAAAGGAGGAAACTTACAACCCAGCGGCACGTAATGGGAAGACCCAAGGATAGGGCCAAGTCCTTTCAAATGAAGATACAGGTGACACTGGGATAAAACAATCCTGGGAGGTTGGACACAAGTAGACTCAATGAGTGACAGCCTTAATTTTGGGGATGGTGTCAATGCTGGTTTTTACACTTGTCATGGGCATCAAAATGGTTTAAATACATTCTTTTTCTCCTCCCTCCCACTCCTCAGCCCCTCAAACCTATATCATCCTTTCTGTCTTAGTTTTCTGTACTAATTACTGGCAGTCAGATCGTAGAGACAATAATTTAGGGTCCAGTGAAAGTAAATTTTTACACAGCTTGATAGCAGTCTGGGGAGACTGAGGAAAGGAAGATAGAGGCAAATCTCTAGAAAAATGGAGTGTTTCTCTTTGTAGAAGCTATAATTTTTTTTTTAAAAAAAGATGTCTTAACTTTGCTAATAACCTAAGATGATTTGTAGAAATTAACTAAAGTAGAAATTGTCATTTTTTTGTTTTTGAAAATGTATGCATTTTGCAAGCAAAAATAACACAAAAACAATGTTAAATCAAGCCCATTTTAAGCTCCCTGAGATGACATACAAAGACAAACTACACAGTACAGTATTAGAGCAGAAAATAAATTATTTACAAAAATCACTTAGAGTAAAATCAAACTTCCATTTCAACAAATATAACATCAGATTAACTGTATCCTTGATTATTTGTTGCTGTAAGTTTATTCATACCAGAAAAATGGTCACATTTAAAATTCTCAAAATAGTTTTGGCACAAGTCACATCTTCTCATTTTGCTAAGTCCCTGAGCACTTTGAACAGGCTGACTTTATGCATCGGCCTCTTCCCCATCCACCCTGGTCCCCTCTTTCCAGAATGCCTTGCTACCTGCTCTGGCCTCAAGGCTACCTTTACCCCTCTCATCATTAACTCTAGATGAACATTTAATGTTATCACCTTTCTAGCTAATGGTGCTCTGCAAAAACCGTGCAGCTTCTCTGACAAGAAGATCTAGAGTCCCCGCCCCAAAGAGGAGCTCATACCATCTTCCCCATGCTCACTGACAAGGAAGGGGAAACAGATAAGGGTACGTTTTGTGTATCCTTCTTATTATTCATAAAGTTGCCTGTAATGGTCAGTGTTTTAATGTCTCCAAAGCTTTATGCCTCAAATGCTCATCCAAACACTGGATGGCAAAGAGGTCAACATCCACATCAAACTTATTGGCAAACAAGTGGTGTTTGCGCAGCATCCAGTTCAAGTCACCAGCTCCAAAAATGCACACCGAGCGCACGTGGACTCCATCGCAGGGAGGGTAGGGGGCACCCTTGGAAACATCACCCTCAAAGTATTGCCACTTGACAAACCTGGCAACTGCTTGCATGTCAGACAAATCGTACTTATGGCTGGCAGAAAGTGAGCCCGGGACTTCAGGAATCCTCTGGATGGTGGCCCAGAGATACTCATCAGGGCTGTATGTGTCTTGTGCCCACTCCATAAACTTTTGGATTTTTTCGTTCTGTAATACATACCCCACATACTCCCTACTGACCACAAAGTAGGCACTGCCAGAAAAAAGAGGTGTTTCGAGCGGAGGAAGCATTTTGACAGTCCCTGTGTTTGTCAGCTTTCCATTAACGACCTCATACCGCTTTTTCCACCTTTCTTCTTTATGGGATGGCATCCTCTCCGTTTCCAGGCTGTTTTCTCCCATTAACAACTTGAGCTTCCTGACAATTTCTAGGTTGGTTTTAATAGGAAAATCCATACCACAAAGATTTATCAAGTACTTCCAGTTTGCACTCATTGCATAGAGGTCCTTCATGCAGTTGAGGTCAGCCTGAACCCGACTCCATGATGCATAAACCACACTCTCCAATCGGCTGGCCACAAAGACATTACTGAAACAGGAAGCGATGCCCATCACTGCAGCTAAATAGGAATCCTCGGATTTTGTGTCCACATGAATGCAATAGAAATTCTGAGGCATATAGATGGCCCTCAGCAGCCTGTCAAGCATTTCAATCTTGTGATGAACCACTATAGAATATGCTATTGGAAACTCTGCCTCTTCTTTACTAAGTGGTTCTACAATATATTTGCGTCTCTTGATGAAAGAAGTACAGTCACTGGTCATGTTTATATAGTCATCATGTGTCCACCGAGGGCGCTTTTTAAATTTCACTGTTAGGATCTCAAGCTTTACCTTTTGGATTTCATTTACATCACCCTGTAAAACTTTGGTGCAATTAATATCACTACTAGGATTCTCCCCAGCAAGCTCCAAGTGTCTGACACTTACAAATTCGGGCTTTTGATGAATCCTTAAAACGGAGAAGGTGATTAGGGAAAAAACAAGAACCACAAAGTAGTATTTAGTGGGATAAGAAAAAAGTCTCCTTCGCAGCAACTTCCTCAGCATTTCAAACAATAATCAGGGATTTTCGTTGTGAAGGGCAGTCTTCTATGCTTCAAGCACCAGTGATTTTTTCCTCCGTTGTGACCTTGAAGGTTATCAGTTTGCATTTATCAGAGCTGCAACGGCATCTTGAAATGAAGAACAGCACTGAAATAAAAGCAGCAATTATAACTATATATATATATGTATGTATGTAGAAAGAGAGACAGAGAGTTTCACAATAAATCTTCTCAGGCTCAAAAACTGTCCTCTTTGCTATGAGGTCAGGTTTAAAACAAAAACAAAGTGGCTGAACCAGAGGAAAAGTGGTAGTAGTACAGGAAGCTCACAGTCTCTAGTGAGAGATTATATACCACAGATTGAAAAAGAAAACAAAAGAAAAACAAACTCCAAATCCCAGCACCTGGATGCACTACAATATCTAACAACAAGTATTTTACCTCTCTGGTATGTTGAGGTGCAAAACCACAGTTGGAGACCTAGGCAATAATGATTGAACAGTCTATAGTTAGTCAGTTTCTGACACTGCGCCAGAATTAGCACCCCTTGTCTTGAAATTGTTAGTAATTTAAGTTCCTCCTGACATCTTTTAATGTCCATTAGCTGGTGTCAGCAGCCCTAAAAGAGATCAGATCCATTCTGCTTTTTGCTGATTTAGGATTTGGGGCACACTTAGGAAGAAGTTTGGAAATAGTTGTGACTTTTTTTTTTTTTTTTTTTGAGACGGAGTCTTGCCCTGTTGCCCAGGCTGCAGTGCAGTGGTGATCTCGGCTCACTGCAAGCTCCGCCTCCCGGGTTTACGCCATTCTCCTGCCTCAGCCTCCCGAGTAGCTGGGACTACAGGCACCCACCACAATGCCCGGCTAACTCTTTTTTTTTTTTCTTTTTTTTTTTGTATTTTTAGTAGAGATGGGTTTTCACCATGTTAGCCAGGATGGTGCCGATCTCCTGACCTCGTGATCCGCCCACCTTGGCCTCCCAAAGTGCTGGGATTACAGACGTGAGCCACTGTGCCTGGCCGGAAATGGTTGTGACGTCTAAGAATCTTCGGAGGAAGGGCAAGTCAACGGAATTTTCAAACTGGATTGAAAAGGCTCACATGAAACCAGGCCCAATTTTGGACTGTGTTGGGTTGGTCTCACAATGAGTTTAGTTCCATGCCAGACACTACAAGAACAAAATGTTCATAATCCAAAAGAGAGATACAGCTTCCGTTTTCTGCATGAGTTAAAACAGACTGTAATAACTAAGTCTTGCAGAAAACAATAGTGTATACAAATTGTAATTTATGACAGACCTTCATCTATATTCAAATTTTAGGAACACAACTCACTTTTACTATGTAAAATGCTTACAAACATTAAATAGCTTCGTTTTCAAAAATCAATTTTATAACTTGGCAACTGGTTCTACAGCTGATAAGCGCTGCTGTTCTAAAAAAAGAAAGCCAAATACTACCAATTTGACCATTATAAATCTGTTCATTACAAGATTTCTAGAGATTTGACACTGGTTTTTAACGCCAGAAACTTAACTATTTCATTAGGAAATGAGTTGTGAATAGTAATAATACAAATAAAAATGAATAAATGACCATCATTAATATAAAATAACGTTAAGAAAAGTATTTAGACGTTTTACCATTTAAAAGTAAGGACAGTCTGAATCACTTAGTGCTGATTCCAGGTGACATCTTGTCCCATTCTGAGCACTTCGCCTGCTGTCAGGTGTGTTAAGTGTTTGGGCATCCAGCGATAATGATGTGTTCCATGAGGCTTTAAAGAAATCTGTGAAATTAAAAAACAATGTGTGAAGGGATACATATGAACATATAGTATTCACACACTCAGAAAATATGTTAGTGAACTAATCCTACATGTTTACTTTTATTCCCTCAAAATTATAGGTGGTTAACTTCCCTCTTTTAAAATTTCCTTCTCTCTAGTCTTATTTTTCTAATTCTATGTTTGTGGATTGCTAAAGATTTGAAAACATCCTGAAATTTAGGTTAAGTTCTTTGAAAGAAAACTCTAGCAGCATTTCCCTTAATGCATACCAAGGAACAGTTTAGTGGTGCGGTATGATTAGAAAATCCAACATATCCTTTCCCCCACTGTGAAGATTCCCTCACTGGCAAATGAATAACAATCCTGCAGCTGAACTTGTTGCTCATCTCATTTTCTGCTAACAATCTTGATCACCACCCTACTCCACACCTCTATTAAAAGCCACCATGGGGAGCTTCTGTAACAATACATAAGAATTTCAACCACTAAAATATCAAAACACTGCACAATGTATGCCTTTAAGTAATTCCTGCCCCTTACAGGTTCAAGGCATGTAAGGAAATCTCTATGGAATCATTAGCAGACCACTAACTAACTGAGAGAGACTTGAGTGGGTCTCACATAACAAAGAATATAAACTTCGGACAACTGGTCGAGGAAAGTCACTAAACAAACAAATAACAAAAACAACAAACCCTGGTCAGGGTAGGCAGGGGTAGAGGTCTGATTTCCATGGTGGACACACTATAAACGATCCTGTTTCAACAACAAAAAAAATTACAAGGCATGCAAAGAAACACAAAAGTCTGGTCCACTTACAGGGGGTGGAACAAACAAAGCAGTCAATAAAAATGTCCCCCAAGGAAGCCCAGGCATTGGATTTAATAAATAACTTGAAATCAGCTCTTATAAGTATGTTCATAGAACTAAATAACTGAAAGAAAGCATGAGAATGGTATCTAACCAAATGGAGAAATTCAATAGAATGTACAACACAAAGAGTGAACCCTTAATAATAATAATGTATATAACAAGTTTGGGGAGGTAGAAAAATAGTTGAAAAAATAATGTATCAATAATTAATAATAATGCATAAATACTGGCTTAATTGTAAAAAATGTACCACACTAATTTAAAATATTAATAACAGAAGAAACAGTGAGGGGGCAAATGGAAACTCTCTGTACTTTCTGTGTAATTTTTCTGTAAACATAAAACTGCTCTAAAAATAGTCTATTAATATTGAAACAAAAATTAATTTGCACATCCAAGAAGTTCAATGAGCTGCTAAGGGGATAAACTCAGATACCCTCACCTAGACACTTCAAAATCAAACTGTTGAAAGGACAAAAGATTTTGAAAATGGTAAAGAAAAGTGATTATACAACAAATCCCAAAAATGATTAACAACTTCAAATAAAAAGCAATGGAAACCAGACGACAGTGAGTGACATATTCAACGTGCAGAAAGAAAGACTGTTGGCTAGGTGTGGTGGCTCATGCCTGTGATCCCAGCACTTTGGGAGGCTGAGGTGGGTGGATCACTTGAGGTCAGGAGTTTGAGACCAGCCTGGCCAACATGGTGAAACCCTGTCTCTTACTAAAAATACAAAAATTAGCCAGGCATAGTGGTGCACGCCTGTAATCCCAGCTACTCGAGAGGCAGACACAGGAGAATCGCTTGAACCTGGGTGGTGGAAGTTGCAGTGAGCCAGGATCACGCCACTGCACTTCAGCCTGGGCAACAGAGCAAAACTCCATCTCTAAAAAAAAGGACTGCTAACCAAAAATTCCATAATGAGCAAAATCATTCAAAACAATGAGAAATTAGGATACTCCCAGATAAATAAAACAAATATAATTTATCACTACCAGCCTTACCCTTCAAGAAATACTAAATGAAGACATTCAGGTAGAAATGAAAAGATTCTAGACAGCAACTCAAATCTACATGAAAAAATAGAAAGCAGTAGTAAAAGTATATATATACACACTTTTATATATATATAAATATATATAAAGTATATAAAGTATATATATAAAGTAAATATATATAAAGTACGTATTTATATATAGGCAAATTTATAGTATGAATGTAATGTTCTTCGTAATTCTCTTCTCATCTAATTTACAGCTACATTAATTTATGACAAAACTGTGTTGACAGGCTTATAATGTGTACATTATATATATATATATATAAAAATTTTTTTTTTTGAGATGGATTTTGCTCTTGTTGCCCATGCTGGAGTGCAGTGGTGCAATCTTGGCTCAATGCAACCTCTAGCTCCCAGGTTCAAGCAATTCTGCTTCAGCCTCCTGAGTGGCTGAGATTTCAGGCACCCGCCATCACAGCTGGCTAATTTTTGTATTTTTAGTAGAGACGGGGTTTCATCATGTTGGCCAGGCTGGTCTGGAACTCCTGACCTCAGGTGATCTGCCTGCCTTGGCCTCCTAAAGTGCTGGGATTACAGTGGTGAGCCACTGTGCCCGGCCCTAATGTATTTTTTTTATCTCACTGAATGGACAAATTGGAACCATCATAAATTGCTGGTAGAAATGTAAATGCTTGGTGAAGCTGCTTTAGAATGTTTGGTCGATCCACAGAAAATTAAAACTAGAGTTACCATATGACCTAGCTGTTCCACTATTAGGTATATACCCAAGAGAAATGAAAACATATTTTCATGCAAAAACTTGTATACAAATGTTCATAATGGCATTATTACTAACTAAAATAGTGGAAGCAAACCAAATGACCGTGAACTGAAGAACCGATAAACAAAATGTGGCATATCCATAAAATGGGATATTATATGGGTATAATAAGAAATGAAGGTCTCACACATGTTGCATACAATGTAGATGAAGAACCTAGAAAACATTAGGCTAAGTAACACTCTTTTACTATATAATTATGTTTATATTAAGTGTCCAGAAAAAGCAAATCCATATAGACAGAAAGTAGATAAGTGTCTGCCAGGGGCTGGGGACATGGGGGAATGGCAATGACTGCTGGTAGGTACAAAGGTTTCCTTTGAAAGTTCTCTAAGTAGATAGTGGAGATTGATGTAGAACTTTGTGAAGATATTGCATACTTTAAAAGGCTAAACATTAGGTATGTGAATATCTCAATAAAGCTATTATTAGAACAATAACAATAAAGTTCCCCATAGTAAACACATTTTAAGTTACAAATTGTGACACCACTGAGTTTCAGGTTTTTTTTTTAAACAGGAGAACTAGAATCATCTTAAACAGGATTTTACAGAATGTGGGCACATGAAAGGGTAACCCCAAAATCCATATGGAAAATACAAAGTTCAGAACCAAACACTTGGATCTCACCTCAAAAAAGCATAGGTCTTTACCACTGTCGTCTACATCCTAAACAGCCAACATGCTTTGAAAAATACTTTTTACAACGTAAAATCACTAGTTTTGGGTTTTAATAAGATGGATAAGTGTCTATAAAGGAGGTAAATATGTGAGAAAACAGTGTCTATAAAGAAGGTAAATATGTGAGAAAGCATTATTTTATTAATAATGCTTTTGATTTTGTCTATCATCAGGGTGAACAGAAAAGTCAAATCATTAAGAGGAATTGTAATTATCAACCTAAGTTCAAGACACAGAACGTTTTCTTAAGTAAAACTCGGTTAAGAATCAGAAGGGTGAAAGAAAAATGAGATTTCATAGCCAAAGAGATTCCCAAGAAGAAGAGAAGTTTAAAGGGAAGTAAAAATATGCACATGCTATACTATTTTAATGCAATTTTAATTACCAAAAATTACTTAGTTTAAGCACACCCACACAAGGAATGAATAACAAAATAATTAAGTAACAAAAATGTGGCCATGGGTAGTTAATACTGCTCAGCCCAATGTTCCTTCACCTTTATATTTCACTCAGGAAGTATACTCACTGAAGAATATCTGGTGGGATATGCCAGTGAGGGCAACTACAGAAGAATAAGAAACATTCTAAATGACAAAAGCTCACAAATTCTGGGAAAGTACGAAAAACGCAAGTCCCAAACCACACTAAGCCTCACTTGCTCAAGGCCTACACAACCCAACAACTGTCCTGGGGCATGTCCTGAAGAAGGACCCTCATTGCACACTGGTCCTTTCCTGGAAGAGGAGATTTCCTTATGGACACCACCCTATATAATTTTAAGTAGAACACATAACCTAAGAAGAAATGCGAAATGAAATAATTCCACTGTGAGTAGGAACAAAGGAAAGCCAGTACCTGAAAGCAATGGTTCTTGGTACGTGACTTTTAAGACCAAAAAGTACAAGAATACTAAATTCTAAGAATATTGAAAATAAATACTGACCTGTTATACAGTCAATAAGAAGGAAAGCTAGTCAAGGAAGGGAACAAGAAGATAGGCATTGTGTGCCCCTAAGGTGATGATATGGTCACTAGAAGTGTTCCAACACAAAGAAAGTAAGCACCGCCATATAGAAAGGGTGCCACTGAGTGCTTAATGGAGTGGGAAGACAGACAAAACGACTTCAGGGAGAGGGAGACAGGAGGCAGGAATCAAACTGGAAAAGCAGATGGATGAGAGGAAACTGAAAAAGCAGATGCACAAATCCCAGGCTGACAGGCGGGAAAGAACAGACCAGCTCTATTTACACTGCAGGATCTTCAAAGGGTGCAGGAACTGGTGCTGGTTGCACAGATTCCTCTGAAGCGGGGCTGTGGGAGTGATGGAGGAGTAGTGTTGCTTTGTTTTTTGTTTTTTTGTTTTGTTTAAAGTATCCACTAGTAGCTGTTTACAAAGCAGCTGGGTTTCTACCTCAAACTTGGCAAAGACCCACCCAAGATGTAGTTTCTGCAGAGGCTCTCCCTTCCAGGGCACACCAGGCCTAATGGAAAGCAGTTCCCATCCAGAAAACAGTGGGACCCAGGCACAGTGAATATCCTTCTCCATTTCCAGTTTGCTTATCCCTAGTAGTTCCCAGAACTTTGATTGTCAGCCCAGGGCAGGAATTTTTTTTTTTTTTTTTTTACTGGGGAATCCAACCATACCAAGAGAAAGAAGGCTTAAATATCTTGCTTAAATTGGGAGTTCCCCAAATGGTCAAAGGAAACATACTGTTCAGAGAGAAGAAAACGACCACTAACATCCTCAGGATATAGAAAACTACCACTAACATCCTCAGGATATAAAGTTAAAAATATGTTTAAAAAAAATTAACGAGGTACAATATATTTTCTGAAGACAGCCAGGCCAACATTTTCACCCAGCATTTTCTTCTGCTATATGACCTTGCCACTCCCCAACCAAGAAGTAGTCAAATTCCCTCCCTCTTGAATTTAAGAGGCCTTATTGAGAGGTGAAGTCAGCCGGACTTCCTGGGCCGAGGATTATAAACGCACCAATCAGTGCTCTGTGTCTAGCTAGAAGATTGTAAATGCACCAATCAGCCTTCTGTAAAAATGGACCAATCAGCACTGTGTAAAATGGACCAATCAGCATTCTGTAAAATGGACCAATCAGCAGGACATAGGCGGGGCCAAATAAGGGAATAAAAGCTGGCCACCCAAGCCAGCAGAGGCAACCTGTTCTGGTCCCCTTCCACCGTGTGGAAGCTTTGTTCTTTCACTCTTCACAATAAATATTGCTGTTGCTCACTCTGGGTCTGCACCACCTTTAAGAGCTGTAACACTCACTGAAACGGTCCACGGCTTCACTTATGAAGTCAGTGAGACCATGAACCCACTGGAAAGAAGAAACTCTGGACACACCATCTTTAAGAGCTGTAACACTCACCACGAAGGTCCATGGCTTTATTCTTGAAGTCAGCAAGACTAAGAACCCACCAGAAGGAACCAACCCTGGACACATCTTGGTGACCACGAAGGGACCATCAC